GTAGCGAGAGATCCACGCGAACACAATCCAAAATGGCGCGTGAGAGATCCACAGGGCGATCCACAAATGCAGCGAGAGATCCACACTCGCGCACACAATCCACAAATGCACGTGAGAGATCCACAGGGCGATCTACAAATGCAGCGAGAGATCCACACTCGTGCACACAATCCACAAATGCACATTAGAGATCCACACTCGCGCACACAATCCACAAATGCACGCGAGAGATCCACACGCGTGCACAAAATTCACAAATGCACGTGAGAGATCCACACGCGTGCACAAAATCGACAAATGCAGCCGCACACGGCAATCCAGGCAAAGGCAAGTGCATTAATTGTTTCTTTGCTCACAGAATGATCCTCAAATACTGTATCTGTACCCGTTATTTAATGCACAACAAATCGCGAGTCCTTTGCATTAGTGTTCTGCCTTAAGAATGTCTATAAATACGCGCTTTTGTATTTGCGGATTCTTTTGAGACTGTCATTCTGCGGCCTTAACTCACAAATGCGCACAAGCCTATCCGTCTGTACACTTTTACCTATGGCATGAAGTAGATGGTCAGACATGTGTAGTAGAATGTTGATCTGAATGGCGATCCACTTCAAGGACCCTGATATTTTTTTTCAACATTATTGCGACCAATATTTAGACTTTCATCATGTGATATTTAGAAAAAAAACATTTCATTGGGTACACGTGTATCTTCGTCTTCTTTGTCTTATGTGCACAAATTGTACAAATTTATTATCCTTTGTGTTTGTGAAATGCAGTGAGCTGTATGCTGCAAGTATCACGTTTCCGTAGTGTCGTGGTCTGCGTTCATTGCGGCCATACAGTGTTGCATTTAGTGACAGGAGTTCGAGTCCGAGGTCCGATTATATTCCTTTCTCTCCTTTTCGTTTTGATCAATTTAATGCATCCTTGCTGAATAAAAGTATTCATTAAATTATTGTTGCTTCAAATGCTTCAGTTGACTTGATTTTGAATGTCTGGGGCGTTTTGTCTCTTTCTGTGGTATTTTTACTCTAAACACTGGTTAATTTCTGACGCCGCTTGGATAGAAGCTATTTTGTGTGTAATTTTGAAGCCAAATTTGTGATGTCTGACTGCTTTGTTTCTCATCTGATCTGTGGCTGGTGTTGACGTACTCATGTTTTCTCTGTCATGAATAGCAGATGTTTTCCAATCTGATTTTTTGGTCACAAACAGGAAAAGGATAGGATCCAAGGGCAAAGATCTTACTCCTGCTCTCTGTGGGATTGTAAATGACCTATTTACATCCTAACTATCGGACGTAAACTGATGTCTAAGCGCGATCAGGCAGAGCCGGGGATTATTGATACCACAAGGTGTTTTCGGTGCTCCTAAGATCAAATTTATATTCAAAACAGCAGAGTGAAATCGAAAACTGATGAGCTCAGGGGAAGTTATTTAAGACAACAGGAAATGCAGTGTTTAGGTGTGAGGACGTGCCTTACATTCATCACAACCTCAGAGAGAGAGCAAGAGCGACGGAGAAAGACAAGACGTGCTGTGTGCATTGAGAGAATTACATTTTTCTTTCTATTTGTGTCTAAATTAACAGTTGCAGCAGATAGTGAAGGAAAGGCATCATCAAGTGTTTATCATGCATGTTCCTCCTTCATTGATGCACTTGATGAAGCTGGTTGATGAATTTCCAGATTGAGCAGAGCTGAAATCTAGACCAAGAAGAAGCTCAAATATAAGAGAGGCTGCATTTGTGTCACATGTTTTGGTCACTACGTTATTGCCAGACTTCCTTTTATCTGTTATGTCATAGTTTTAATAAAGTTTCTGGTTTAAATGAAGTATTCATTCAGATATCGAAGTCTTGACGTCAGTATTACAGAAACATCAACTTTTTGGACACCGATATGATTTTTATGCTGTGGACATTTAATGTTAAATTTGCATGTGCTTAATTTTTTAATGTTGAAGCAGATTTAGCCCAATCTGGTTGAAAAGAATATTAATTCTGTAGAGTAGTAGTAGTAGTAGTAGTAGTAATAATAATAATAATGTTTTATTTAAATATTTAATTTATTTAAATATTATTTATCTTTTAATTGAATTTAATAGAGTTTAATACAATTACTTAAATATATATATTTACACACACACACACACACACACACACATTTCCCCACAGTTTATTCAATTACATTTAATTAATCGTATATAAGGTTAACTTTATTCGTCTCCCGTGGGAGAAATTTGGCTTGGACAAAGGGCGTGCTGCACAAAAAAAGACATAACATGGAAGACATAGTAACATATATAAAAAATACCCAATGTGCCATACAATTTAACCAGGTGAACTCATCTCATGCAGATAACACTCCCACTCTAATCCACCACAGAATACATTCCCTTTTGATCATTTAAAAATGTAATTGACAACGGGATAAAAGAATGTTTAAACCTATTGTACCTGCACAATAAAATTCTGTCCGAGTTCATATCACAATTACATTCTCTAAAACTGCCATACATTCCTTAACATTGTCATTATCTGTATCAAAACGCAAATAAAAATTGTTCAGTTCATTGGCCCTAGCAGTTTCGTTTAGGGCAGACAGTGGCTTCCTTTTTATGCCCATATTGGTCATCTGTCTGATTGAATTCCACAGTTTCTTTGTATTAGATGTGGACAAGTCCTGTTCTGCCCGCTCCTTAAACCAACACCGGGCCTCTCTCATTTGGAAATTGAGGTCCTTTTGAGCATCATGGACACCTGCCAAGTCGTCAGATATAAAGGCAGCTCTCTTCCTCCTGATGCATTCCCGGATACCTTTAGTAATATACGGTTTATTATTTGGATATGGCTTAACAGTTTTCTGGGGAATAATAGAGTCGACACAGAAAGAAATGTAATCTGTGATTGATTCTGCTGCACTGTCAATGCCTGCATCCTCAAAGAAGATATTCCAGTCCGTACAGAGAAAGCAGCCTTTCAGCTCCTCCTTTTTTTCCTTTGTCCAGACCTTCACAGTTTGCATTTCGGGTTTACAAGTCTTAAAAACTGACCGGTAAGTTGGAAGCAGGTGGATGACATTGTGGTCAGAGTTACAGAGAGGTGGTCTGGTTTTAGCTATATAGGCATCCCTGATGTTACCATAGCACTTATCGAGGATATTGTTATTCCTAGTGCTGCACTTCACATGCTGATAAAAACCAGTCAGTGTTTTAGTCAGGCAACAATGATTAAAATCACAGAGTATCAGCATAGGTGCATCAGGTTTACTCTGGAGAAGGTGGTGAACACCGTCCGTAATCTGCTTAGCTGCTCTATTGGCATTCCCACTTGGTGGAATATATACAAGACACACAAAGATGTTAGTGAATTCCCTAGGCAGGTAATGTGGTCGCAGGGTAACGCACAGCAGTTCGAGATCAGGATTACATATTTTCTCTCTAATTGTAATATTACGACACCAACTGTCTCTTATATGGATACACACCCCCTCCCTTAGTTTTACCTGAATTTGCATCCCCGTAGCTCCCGTAGCACATCGTTCAACAGGCCAGGCAACCATGGCACTCCGCTGTGCCGCAATCCCAGCAGATCAGTCACGTTGTATGTTAATTGACCGCTGCTCGTAGACCCTACAGCACAGCCCCGGATGACCCGGTCAGACAAGACTAGCCATGCTAATCCCAGCAATAGGCCTCGTTTCCATTTTACTTGCCTTGCATGCCACTCATAATTCAACGCACAAGACACATCCAGTAAAAGTAATGCACAAAGAGTTCCGCGAAGATAAACATAACACTGAGGAGTCACGAACAACATTAACAAACAAAACCAGTGCAGCAGAAGCCCTCCTCTGAGTCGCCGGCAGAGCAGCGCCACCGTAATTATGTCCCCACTGGATGCAACAAATGCCTCATTTATAATGGGTTTTACTGGTTTTGTCTCGCGCCGGGACGCGACATCACAGTATGGTAAGGGGCGTAACATTTCCGTCACACGCTTGAGGTATCCGGCCAATCACAACACACTGGATAGCTGGCCAATCAGAGCACACCTCACTTTTCAGACCGATGAGCTTTGTAAAAAACGACACGTTTCAGAAAGGCGGGGCATAGAGGAGAAACAATAATGTACATTATGTGGAAAATAATGTGTTTTTTGAACCTTAAACTGCATAAACACATTTCATTACACCAAATACACAAAATAATGTTCTTTTTAGCAACGTCATATGACCCCTTTAAATATCATTTAATAAATTCACTTTAATTAAAAATAATAGTGAAAAAGTAAAGCACTCCTGGGGTCCTAATTGTCATGAAAATTCGGTCATAATGCAAAAAAGCTTTAATGGTCCTACAATACGCTTCATTTAATTCATGCAAAATATAATTTCTGGTTTCTTCCTTCTCTTTACAAGGTTAAGCGTGACCTGAACATGTTTTCATGAATTTTACCCTTACTACACAGCCAGATCCTCCACCCGTAGAGGAGTGTCAGTTTACATACCAGCTCTTCCTGCAGTTAGATAACACCGAAAAGCTATAAACGGCCCTTTTTTTAGACTACATCTATATTTCATTGCCATTGATTTTCATGTTGTTTACACTCATTCTGGCTTCTCGTTCTAAACGCAGTGTTAAATCAGTCCATATAGCACATATGAAATTGTAAAACCACAAAACCTAAAGGCCTCACTCAGGAATGTGAAGTATGCGGGCCAAAGGAAACCAAGAGCAGCCAAAGGGGGGTCGATAAAATGTCATATCCTCTCGCTTAAAAACCAGAGCATTGTGCATGCTACATAGTGAATGTAAATGCATTTGTACGTGCTTAATATGCAATATGCATTAGTATTTGAGTGAAGAGTCTGTTTTGTAATGTTTTTAAGTGTTGCTTGTGTGCACGTCCCCCCCTCTAAACAGAGCGCAGTAGCTTCTTCCATAGTGGGAGGTGTAGTTCTGTGGAGAAGTCACCGCAGATCAATGAACTGAGCGAAACAGAGGGGCTGGGCAAGCCGACTACAGCGAGCGTCCGTGGGATATATGCTGCTCACCCTTCCGCAACACCTATTATTTCTCCCCCGCAACAATTCGGTCTTAAAGATACGTCAAAGTGAGACTCTATGACAGCACTGCTCAGTCTCTATGGTTTATAGAGCCACAGATACAACTTTACCCTCTTGGATACACGAGAACGTAAGAGATAGAAACATTTGGTAGAAATTTATTCATCCATCGGTGGATATTCGGTTGTTAAGGATGATTTTTGCAAATTCTGCCCACACGGTGAGGATGTCACATAATCGTAAACAGGTAAAATCTTCTTTGACTTAAATTGTGGCCCTCATGGTTATTTGTTGTCTAAAGTGGGGTTTTAAAGTCATAATTCAAAATTATCTGTGCTAATGTGTTTGTGGAAACTGTTATTTGCACTTTTATTGTAATAATAATAACAATAAATGGAATGTTCCAGTGATGATTGACGGATGAAAGACTACTAGTGTCCAAAAGCAGAAACTAATCCATAAAGAATAGCTGTCATTGGTTCCCTTCCAATCAAATGCTCCCCTCCAATGGGTGTGTTTTTGTTGTGCTAGCGTTTAATTTGATTGTGTTATGGCACCGGCTCTCATTCACAATTTTATCACCCCCCCCAATCAAACCCGTCCCACCAGTTTAAAAATAGGCCTCTATTTGATCAAGTTTTTACGTGTCTCATGCACGTCGAAGCATTTTGCTCTGATGGGAATATACATTCACAGCCCTGCCTGTCTGTTCTTCTGATGGACTGTTTGGTTTCGCTGGTTAATCTGCTTTACCCTCCTGTAAAGGTCAAAAGTCACAGTGCTTAACTGATGCACCCTCTCATATGACACTTTTCATTAAACCCTTCTCTATCTCACCCCATGCATGCATGCATTTCACGTGCACTACCAGCCTTGAGCATGTCCATGCCATATTTCAGCCTTATTTTTAGATTTTGCATTAAGAAAATTTGAATGAGAATGAACAATATAGAAACAGTTGGTGAAAGATTGTTCATCCATCGGTTGTTAAGGATTATTTTTGCAAATTCTGGCAGTGAGAACGTCGCATAAATGTAAACGGGTAAAAATCTTATTTGACTTTAATTGAGGTTCTCATGGATATTTGTGCAGTTATAAAGTCTTATGGGTGAAACGTGTAAAAGAACACATCCCAGTTGTATTTCAGCCTTATTTTTAGATTTTGCATATAGAAAATGACACATTTTAATGATGAGAGCGCACAAGGTGGAAACATTTGCTGGAAATGTATTCATCCATTGGTTGCAGAATTTTTAGCAAATTCTTCTACACAGTGAGGACGTTGCATAATTGTAAACAGGTAAAAATCTTATATTATAAAGCGTTTTGGGTGAAACCTATAAAAGAACATGCAAATTTGCATATTTCAGCCTATTTGTAGATTTTGCATAAAGAAAATTACAAATTGTAATGATGAGAATATACAAGATAGAAACAGTTGTTGAAAATGTATAATTATTTATATATATGTCTGTTGTTAAGGATGATTTTTGCGAATTCTGGCTACACAGTTAGAATGTTGCATAATCATAAACGGGTAAAAAAATCTTGTTTGACTTTAATTGTGGCCCTCGTGTTCTGTAAAGTGCAGTTATAAAGTCTTTTGGGTGAAACCAACATGTTTAAGTCATATGCATAAAGAAAATGCAAATGTTTATAATGAGAATGTACAAGATAGAAACATTTATTCGTCCATTGTTTGTTAAGGATGATTTTTTGCTAATTCTGGGCACACAGTGAGGATGATGCATAATTGTAAACGGGTATAAAATCATCATTTGACCTTAATTGTGGCACTTATGGTTGTATGTTCGGTTTTAAAATCTTTTGGGTGAAACCTGTAAGCGAACATGTCGAAGTCATACTTCAGCCATATTTTTAGATTTTGCATAAAGAAAATAACAAATTTTCATGACATTACGCGCATTTCCCTCTCAAATTCTCCTTACTTTAATGCCAAAAAGCTATGATATTTACTTATGCTATATTTGTTGTAACTAATTTACACTGAAATATTAACATATCTCAGTAACCAGCTCGTCTGCTGTTTCTGTTTCATGCAGATATTTTTGTATGTATAGTTTCACAAAACTGTCAAACCATTCTGTTTTTGCTTCAAATTTGGAAATTATACAATCTAATTTAGATAAAAAAAATCCTCATGTTGCATGTATGCAGGATCTTTGTTTGGATAATGATTAAAATGCAGTGGTTGCCTCTAATTTTAAATGGAAAGAGCACAGACAAAGCCTTATTTTGTTTATATGAAGATATTTATTTTATTTGTGTTACTTATTTATTTGATTTGGGGCTTGTTTTGAAATGTTAATTTAGTTATTTGATTTGGGGCTTGTTTTGAAATGTTAATTTAGTTTTGTTATTTACTTTTACATTATATTTAAATTTTGTTATTTAGCAGATGCTTTTATCCAAAGCGACTTACAAATGAGGACAATAGAAGCAATCAAAACCAAAGTGAATTAAAGTGCTGTATTAGTATATTATTACAGTGTTATATTTCAATTTCACAAAACATGCAGCATTTTGTCCAAGCAATAATAAAAGGACACATTTAATTTATAATTTGTCTTAAATCTAATTTTGTTAAAAAAAATTATAATAATCGTGAATCGAATCGAATCGTGAAATCAAAACCGTGAATCGAAT